TATATATATATATATATATATATATGTATTGGGGAAAATAATAGTTTGTTATTAATATTCCCAAAATAGCCCAAAGTGTAGAAGAGTTGGGCAATGATGTAGTTTGCCAATATTATTACCACAATTAAAATGGTTCTTATAATCAAATGGGTATCAATATATCAATGAAAATGGATATGCACTTAAATTATTTCATTATATGTGAGGCGATCATTGTTTAGGATGATGTAGAGCCAATAATTATTAATGATTAGCAATTCCATGAAGAGAAGATCTTGAAGGAATGGGATGCCCTAAGGAGGGGAAAGTTTTTCTTATTGTATTTGTGCTATAAGTGGAGATTGAGAAGTGGTGGATAGAAAAAAAATGTTAAACAATTAAAGGAAATTTGAGTTCAATAATTTATAAGAATAATTTTTCTAAATCATTTTTTTTATTTGATTATGCAATATTTAGCTAATTCTATATCAATGTTTTGCATAATTCTTTACGTTGACTCAAGTGGTTAAGGGTGTCGTCAATAAAATTTAGGTCATCATTTATTTCATTAATTCACCAAGCTCCCTCGTGCTTAGGTATCACATCAGAGAAATGTTATTAATTGGTGAGGGGTTCTAGTGATGGCATTAAAAATGTATTGGCCTCTTTTTATAATCAATGATTTGCTTGAAATGGTAGCGTAAGCCAACAAGATTAAGAGTGATAACATACTAGCATTATGGAAAGAAGAATATATGAATACTAGGCCTAGCTATTTTTAATAAGGCAAATAAGTTCATTTATGGTTACAATAATAGTTACTCAAATAAAATATTCAAGCCAAATTTAAGGGGAAGGATAAATTTGAAAGTGAAGCTCTAATATTCAATTGCTAGTGAAAGAGATATATGGGAAGTTGCTACTAAGGAATATGTAAATATTTTAATGTGAGAGATTTAGACATAAAGTGATAAACTATTTTGTTTGTCAAAAATAAAAATCAAATGCAACGTATAGGAGTGTTTGAAAATGAATATATGATAAAAGTAAAGTAGGCAAAATCTAGGCATATGACACCTCAAGCACAGGTTTTTAAATTGACAAAAAGGATGCCAAGGATTCAATTAATGTGGTTTTTAAATATAGTTCTTATAGCGCATCATACTAGTTATCATTTATTTTATTCATACTCTATCATATTTAAAATTTGTTTAATTTAGTGTTATGTTTTCATCTACATCTTTATTAAGACTAATGTGACACCCTAATGAATCATAATTATGCTTGTATAGAAGAATAACGAAATTACAAAAATGTGAATCAATTAAAAAAAATATGAAAATAATCACAAATAAGAATAAATATCATTTTTAAGCTATAAATTATTTATTTGATCAATAAAAAGGTTTGTGTGTCATCAATTGAGGATTATGACAAGATAATTTTAAGATTATTTCAACACTATATGGCTTCATACTTTATACTTCATTTTTAGAAGAAATTGGAGCAAAAATAATCACTTGAAAACTTTTCTCAATTTAAGCTCAAAGGCTTTCATTTTTTTCATAAAAAAATGCCCAAAACAAACATTATATCTAGATATCTAAATCAATCTTATTAAAGTGAGTCCTTTTTAATCGCTGCAAAAATAATCACTTCAAACATTGGAGTCCAAAGTTTTGAACAACTTTTCCAATGAATTCCTTTTTTATAACTACGAAGTTTTCCTATTTCCATTGATTTGGGGCTTTTTAAGCGAGTCCTTTACTAATGTCAAGTATGAGAGCAATTTTATATATTTGATGACACATAAATAGTTCAAAAAGTTGATTAATTCTCTTAAACATCTGTCGCTTAAGATTTGGTTATGTACATGTTCAATTTAAAAAGTAGCAACTAGTTCATAAAGAATAAAGGAACATTCATCATCTCTTCAAGAGTATAGCACTCTTCATTATTAACTTCTCGAGCAATGTCAAGAGCACAAAGTGAACTAGATAACAACAATACCAAACTTAGCCAAAGCCCAATCCACATATACTCTTTGTCAGCAATTATTTTAGGATTAATCTTTGAATGGGAAGGATGATTAGAAGTAGTAGTTTCAATTGAGTCCTCTTCACCAATGGCCCCTTAGTCATCTAAGTGGGTTCAACCCTCACTTTCTTCAATGATGATCATAGTTCTAACAATTCTTCAAAAGTTCATCAAATTTCATCAACTTCAAAAAAAGAATTTGATTATAAACATAGAGAAGCAAGGAAATAAGAATGGTAGCAGAAGAAACTTGAAATAAAACTCTAGGGAAATCTATTTAAGAGCATTCTAATGATGTTGACAAGTGTGTGGTAATCAATATTCAAGCTACACAAATACTATTCTCTTATTTTTACTCTTATTTCTTTAATACACACACACACACACACACAAAATCCAAATGTATATCTATGTTGGCTTTAGTCAATTAAGTTATATAATATTGCTAACAAGAAATAGATTTAATATAATGCTAAAAAAATAAACAAATTCATTTGAAATTTAGACTTACTTAAAGAAACGTTCTCATCAACTCTCTAGCCATCTAGCCCTTGACTAAACTGAAGTCACTCAAAACTTGAAGTCATTCGAAAAAGATAACTTACCAAAAGAATTATATAGTTAAAACTCTTCAAATTCTTAGAAGCTTCCCACCCACTCAAAATAAACTTATCAAGAGAATTATTTCATTAAAATTCATCAATTCTTAGAAGAAATTCTTCCCCGATAACATATCTTTCCTAAGTACTTGAACAACTATCACCCTTAGCTATTCTTACAACAATCATTATCGATCTAAAATATAGTTTTACAAATTACTCAAATATAAGCATTTATTTACTATATGTAACGATTATTTACTTAGTATTGAGGCGCATTCATAATGATCTGATTTATGATATAATAATATTGCATATTTATTTAATGTTTATAAATTTTTTGTTTATGAACATTTAGAGTTGATTTCATGTATATTTTTTTGTCTATAGTTTATGATTTTAATTTGAAAAGAGTTTTAAAATGTCTCAATTAACTTTGTTGCAGTTGATAAAATTTTTTGAATGTTTTACATCTAATTTGCAAGTAATAGAGCCCTTTAAATTTCATTTTTAAGTGTAATTTACACGTTTTATTTTTAGTATATCAGACATGAAAAATAAAAGTTTTCTTAGTGAATTTTGCCTTTTTATCGGATTTAGCACATCCTTATAAAAATATCATTTTTTAGAGTCATACATCTTAAGATATATGACAATTTTTACAAAGTTTATATTTAAATATATACCAAATTTTGACAATCATCATTATATTATTTATTATATCCTTGTACAATATTATCTATAGTTAAAATCTCATCGAAGAATTTCATTATAGATAGAAAAAGGTAGAGGAAAATAGTTAGATTCTCCACATTTTTTTTTCATATTTACAGAAAAATCAACCAATTCCAATATATTTATATATCTAACACAAAAATTTTAATTTTTACATTTATACCAACCAAATCTTTCGTATCACATAAAATATATTACTCTTTAACTTTTTCATGCATAATAAAGCGATGTGTCTGTGAAAATTGAATTTTAAGTGTTAGATATATAAATAAATGAAAAATGAAGGGTATGTAACTGATTAAAAATAATTTGTGATAAGACAACTGTCATCACATTTAGATATGTGCGATGTTTTCAGCGTTAAAGTGCATATAAAATTTCAAAACACAGTTTATCCAAACAGAACTTGTGTATTTTCAAAAGCCTGTGACACCAAATAAACTGCCCCCCAAACAGCCATTAAATTAAGATTAGGATGACAGAATTAAAATACACAAAAACTGATCCCACAAATCTGAATCGCCTCGATGCCGTCTTCTTGGATGCCGAGTACCGACAAACTACCTACCTCCCTCCACCAGCTTTATATAGGCACCGTGGAAACGGCAGAGAACAGAGCAATGGCGGAAAGAAGGTGGGAGGAATTGAACTTTGATTGCTTGGTTTCCATATTCTCAAAATTAGGGTTAGAAGATCTCACTACCGGAGTTCCCTTGGTCTGCAAATCCTGGCATGTCGCCTCCTTAGATCCCCAATGCTGGAAAACCCTCGACTTCCATGATCTCGATTTCACCTCCAACAGCAAATGCATAGCCAGATTCAAGCAAGAATACGGAATCCCCAATTTCTCGTTCGCCTCTTTCATGAAGCTCTCCATTTCAAGGAGCCATGGATCCGCCGTCAAGCTCTCGATTCCTTCCACGATCAGCTCTCCTCTGCACCAGGATCTGATTTTAGCTTCAATTGAGTGAGTGCTTTTCTTGTCTCAATGCAGCAAATCAAATGTTGAGGTTTGATCCAACCCTAGTTCTCTTTGCAGGTGCCCTAGGTTAAAGGAATTGGCTCTGCCAACTCTGCTGCGCCAAGATGATAGACAGATCCCTGGATTGATGGCGAGATGGAAGGATCTGGAGATTCTGGAGATGAAATGGAAGCCTCTTTATTTCCTGGAATTGGTTGAAGAGATCAGGGCGAACTGCCCTAAATTCACGGGGTTTCATCTCTGCGGCTATTTTGATGGGAAGGATGCGAAAGCCATTGTTGAGTGCTTGCCGAAGCTGAGGAGTTTGAATATGAGTGGTTCCTTTGTGAAAAGAGATGATTTGGTGATGATATTGGAGGGATGCAGGGAGTTACAGGACGTTGATGTTTCGAGATGCAGGGGATTTGATGCGGAAGATGAAATCTTGAAGAAAGCTTCATCTGGAATCAAGAAATTTGTGTGCGAGGGTTCCAAGGTGCAGGAAAATTATGTTACTTCTTATTGTAATTATGCTAATTTGTTTTCTGCTTTCATTTTTGGAGATTACTAGTTATGTAAAATCAAATTATGGTGATTTTTCCTCCTCCTCTGCCTCCAACCTCGGGTCCTCCTCTCAAAAAAATATTACCTCAGGATCAGTACTCTAATAGAGAGATGTCACATATGTAATGATCTCACTGTGGCTCTACGTGGCACTCCACCATTAGACTGATGCACCATTACTTTGAACTCGATATTACATATGAATTTCTCATATAATATTATTTTATATTATGCTACAACGTATATAACATTATTATACAGAGACTTCAGTTGCATTTGGATTTCACACTAAAAAAATGTTCTTCACATGCAAGGTTGTATCCAAGTACACTTGAAAATTTGTCTGCAGTGATTAAAAGTTAGACTGCAGCTAGAAAGCTGTCACCGCACCTAACCAAGAGTGGTGAGAAAACACATGATTCAGCACCAACTTTTTGAAAAAAATTATTAGAATTTTGTTTACCAAACAGACAATACTGCTGCGTCGTCACTGCATCATAGCCCTAAATGAAACTAATTTTAATATTATAATTCTATATCATGTAAATTTATTTCGTTATTTACATGTCAACAACTAATAAAATATAATTGGCATGCATATGTATCCTCGCGAGTTGATTTTTAATGTACTTTTCAAAATTTAAATAATATTATATAAATAAAAAATACATTTAATCTTATAAATATTGACAATTTAAATGTTATAAATGTTATATATTAAATAAAAGAAATTGAAAACTAATGGGTCGGATGGGCAATTTTTTGTTGTACTATTTAATTTCTTAATGTTATTATTTTAACATGAAGTAAATTCATATTTATTATTTAACTCGTTTATTAAATTTAAAACTAATAAATAAAAATATGTTTGATAGCTTTGATAAATAAAATATGAGAAAAACAAAATTAAAAAATTTTATTTTGACGAAGAATAGTAATAATAATAATTGAGACGACTTTATAATGCGCTTGATGAATGAATGAGTCAATAATTAATAAATTCTAAATTTTCAGCATTATTAGGGCTGTTAAATTGGCTCGTTGTTCTTGAACAGCTCGTTTTTGGTTTGTTAAGAAGTTTGTGTTGGACTTGTTCGCTAAGTTAACGAGTCGAACAGGACAAAATACTACTCATAAATTATATATATATAAAAGGCTATAAAGGTTTATATTCAATTAAAAGTATTAATTTTAAAAAATAGAATAAAAATTACAAAATTAGATTTAAATAATGTTTTAATATAAAAAATAATTGTTAAATCTTGCCCCAACCCTTAACATCTTATGGCTAGGTGATTAGAGTTGTCAAAACAACTCTTTGTTCGTGAACAAGTCGTATTCGGCTTGCTAAGCAAATGAACCGAACACGAAGATACTTTTTTGTTTGAAATATAAACAACTCGAACAAGAGCTGATTCTGCTCTCGCTCGTGTTCGGCATGTTTATACCCCCTAAGCATTATATTTAAAAAAATGGGGGTTTTACATACATACCATGCAATTCCGATTTATTTAGATATCTAGCACATAAATATTATTTTTCACATTTATAAGCCAAATATTACTTATCTCTTCCTAAATATCACCATTTTAATTTTTAGAAATTAAAATACATTCTTTATGCATTAATAAAGTGGCATGTATGTAAAAATTGAAGTTTGGCTGTTATATGTAAAGATTTAGTAATTGAGTGGTATGTATTCAAATCTTTCTTAACAAATAGTCTAACTTTGAAGGAAGATTTTAAGGTTTTTTCCTCATTTCCAGTCACATTTTCTTAGATATTTTACTATTGATACGCCACCAACAAAGTTTCATTTTTGGGCACTAATCTCGAAGTATGACACAGATCTTGAGATAATATTTTGAGCAAGCGATGTTCAAACTTTGATAAAAACTCATCCGAAGCTCCAATTTCAGCAAACTTATAATCAAACTGCCTAGCTCGATGAGACAGACCTAATGATATCAAAGTCATTCTAATCCAAATCAAATCAAGCATATATCAAGTCATTAAACCATTCTTGAAAGATTTTCAGACACATTTGGAAGGTCAAAGACAAGTTTATAGTCGAATCTTGCGTCTCGACAAGAATAATCCAATGAGCCCAAGATTGCAAAATTCTGACATCGTTAAGGCACTCAAATGTCCATTAAACATTGTTTGATCGGAGGAAGCTCTCTAGATCGTCCGATTAAAATGATTCATATTCTTGCATTAATGACATCTAAAATACTATAAATAAAGTCACACCCCTCACATGAAAGGGAAGACTTGAAACTTCAGAGAGAACTAGAATCTCTAGGAAGGAGCTGAAATCCAGCACCATCCTGACCGTTGTCGACTACCGTCGATTGTCATCAACTACCGTCGGTCATCGTCGTCAACCACTGTCGACCTTCACAGTTGATCACCACCAATCATCTTTGATTGCCACCAACAATAAGTTGTCAGTCTTCGTCGTGGGACATAAGCTCATTACTACGGTCCACGCGTCAATAACGACCTACGCGATTCACAGCTCGTGCAGCTCCGGACTCCAACCCCCGTGACATATGGACGTCATTCATACTCGCTCTTATGGCCTACGTGGTTCATAGCTTGTGCAGCTCTCGACTCCTAAGCCTGCGGCTTAGGAACATCATTCATACTCGTCCCTATGACCTACGTGGTTCATAGCTGGTGCAGCTCTCGACTTCAGCCCCCACAGCCTATGGACATCAATCATACTCTTCCCTATAACCTACGGGGTTCACAGCTCATGCAGCTCCCGACTCCAGTCTTTGAGGCCTACTAACGTCTTTCATACTTTCCCGACCTATCTGGTTCACAGCACATGCAGCTCCCGATTCATACTCGCCCAAATGACCTATGTGGTTATCAGTTCATGCAGCTCCGACTCCGACCCTCGCGGCCTACAAATATCATTCATATTCGCCTCTACAGCATACGTGGTTCACAGCTTGTGCAGCTCCCGACTCTGACCTCCAGCTGCCTACGAAAGTCATTTATACTCGCCAATACGGCTTATGTGGTCCACAGCTCCTGTAACTGCTTACTATGTTTTCTTGGCCAATCAATGCTTCTGGAACAACCATCTACAACACTCACAACGGACTACTACCTCCATGATAATCAACAATGACCCTTGAAATTTGTTTTCACCAAGAACTGCAGCCAGATTATAGTTATACAACTTCATAATTTCATCTTCCTTAATTTAGGAGAAAATGAACTTGTGCACTCATCATTCATAGAGGATTATTTCAACTGGGCTAGACCCTTTAGTTTTTCCCCCTTTCAAGGATTTTCTACGTAAAAAGTCAAGATGTCTCCTCCTGCTTACTTCTCTTCTGTTATCTATGTGTGTTGAATTCTCGTGCAATGCTAAGACGATTATTCATTACTCTACCGCCACAAATTTTCTCGCACGCATCAACTATTTATCTTAAGTTTCTTTTCCTCTCTCATAACATGCTAGCAAGTCATCTATAATTAATTAAATTAGTATTTCTTAATCATATGGATTATCCATTTAATATATATTAAATATATAGCTTAGGGCAGTGAACGATCCGATCTCGAGCCGATTCAAAAATGTCTTAAATTCAATAGAATTAGCAGTTTATGGATCAAAATCAGTAATGAATTGAATCGATCCATTTTCAATCCTGCTTGGATTGAAACAGATCTATTTCGAGCCAGCCTGAATGACGTTTTCGGCTCGTGAGCCTGATCAAACATTATTTCTGCTTGAAAACTGTTATTCCAACTTGATAATGAGAGTTTTTTTAATTGTATGAGAGTCTTAATTACCTCAAAATTAAGCGAGTTTAAGCTCTTTGGATTTCTCTCATCGAGACGCTCAATTTGACTATAAGTAAATCAAATTTGAGGTCATTTGACAATTTATTTAACATTTTGAATCCTTCAAATATGCTTTGATAACTTGATCTGGACTTGATTGTACTCTGATTAAACAAATTTTGATACCATCGGATTCTACTCGACGAGACGATCAATCTAACTATAAACTTGTTGAAGTTGGACTCTTAAATGATCTTTAATTTGAATATGAAATATTTATTACTTAAAAGTATCTTAGTACTCATGTCAAATGATAAACTTTCTTTATGACCTCTATATTATTAATTGAATTTTGTACATATAAAAGTATGTCAGCAAGAATCTCATAGCAGATAAACGGCTCGGGAAGAAGATATGGACGATCGAGCATAGCCTTCGTCGATCGTTTATGGATGAATATTGGCAAAGGAAGCAATATGTCTGAAAGATTGACAGAAGACACCAGGAGAAGCTCTTGCAGGGAGGAAATAAGTATTTTGGACAATTGACAAGGAGCACTCTTTCATAATATATATATATATATATATATATCGATTGAATCAAGTCTTGTCAGGCGATCAGCAACACTCATCGATCCAATCGGTCTCCAGTCTTATTAAATGCAAATAACTCTGTAATTATAAAAAAAAAAACCTCCACTAAAAAGCTAATCATGATGAGGCTAATATGTACTTTTGTAATATTAGGACCAAGACCTAGAAATAGAAGTTCATATCATGAATAAGACTCTTTTTTTTCCGTATAATGTTGCTCTCTCCTCTCTATCTCTATCTCTCTCTCCCGATCACTTCATAGCAGAACATTTCATTCTTTGGGTGCATTTCCTAGACACTTTCCAATTCAACGTCATTTAAGGTGCGGTGAGCATGAAAACATAACGTCAACAAGAAGTGAAGTTCAACAACAACAACAAGGAGGGTATAGTTGAAGGAACAAAGGAGAAACAATATACACACGGGAGTTTATGGAAGAATTTGTTCAACAAATCTTGTAAGATTTGAGAACTCATATCATCGACCAAATGTCAGGATAGTTTGCAAAAGACCTTAGGCCAATGAGGGCCTTGATAACAACCGACAGTTCCAAACAAAGACGTGTAACTTCTCTATGGTTGGCAAGCATCTCCCCTTGAAAAGCAGGAAGTTCCTCGCGTAATGCAACAACTTTCCTCTCCACATGGTCGAATCTCTCAAGAACCTTGATGAATATTTTGTGACCATCTCCTTGAGGATACCCCTTGAAACGAAGAAAACACTCCTCCATCTCAACAAGGCGTCAAAGTATGAAGTTAGAGGACACACGGTGCCCTCTGGTCACCTCCTGCTCCCTTGCGGCACTGGTAAAAACTTGATCGCCGGCACCCTGATCCTCCACATCCAGCTCAGCATTTTGCTTCGTTGTGCTCAATTTTGTCACGTTTACTCCCCCGGTGATAACCTGTCCCGCATTCATTTCCTCGATCACAACCTGGTCTACAACCACCGCATCATACTCAGAACCAAATCAATATCTGCTGATACAGAATCGTAAAAAGAGAAATACGAAAAGTTATTCAAGCTACACACCAAAAACTTGCCCCCATTCACATGTGGTATAAAAGAAAATGTCCTCTTCAGCTTTTCCTTGTCCCCACTTTCAGAAGAAAAGTTGTTATTAATCAGTTAAAGCCGTGTCTCAGCCATGACCGCCAACTCCTCAAAACACCTCTAGGTAATAGCTGCCCCTGCAGCCACGTGAACGACAATCTTTCTCCCTTAGCAGAAACACTTAACTCTGGTGAGTGTCCCGTAGTTTGATTGTCCGGATCACCTCTAGCCTGTCCTGCAGTCTTGTTCTGCGGAGGCCCGCAAGAAAACGAGAAGAAACAAGATGGCTCTCACGATTGTCGGCTCCTGGCTTGAGCACAACTTTATTTCTATTCACCCTTTCTATGGATACATCACCCGCTAGTTTACGTTTCATATCTAACTTACGAGCCCGCGCCTGCATTTCGCTTATGGCTTTGAGGATATCTTTATTATCGGAAGGCATTGCTCATTTGTCAGACATTGTGAAAAACACGAAAAGAGCAGGACACGAGACAAAGGAGCCAGAAGAGACAGAGGTGGTGCAAACCTCCCTTGGCCCAAAGCTTATTTATAATGGCTCGAGCACGAAATACAGGGAAGTACAATATTACGCAATAATATCATTTAATTATTTCATACATGTTAAAAAAATTTCTTTTATTCTCATGTACTGTACAACTTTCAAGGACCAAGAGAAACGTGAAACTAAATATGTACATATAAAAATATATCAGCGCGAATCTCAAGGCAGATGGATTGATCAGAAAGAAGATGCTGACGATCGGGAATAGCCTTCGTCGATCGTTTCTAGATGAATATTGGCGAAGGGAACAACTTGTCCAAACGATCGTCAGAAGGCGCAAGAAGAAACTCCTACAGGACGGAAATCAGCCTTCAGGACAATTGACTCGGAGCACTCTTTCAAACTATTTATCAATCGAATCAAGGCTTATCAGGCGATCAACAACCACATCAATCAAATTGACCCTTGGTCTTATTATATACAAATAACTCTATAATTACCCAAAAACCCCTTTGAAAATTCAATAATGAGGGGGCTCACAAGCATAAATCCTTTGCTCGAAAATTAAAGAATAAAAACTCAACAAAAGCATGATCAGATGTACAAAATCAACATATGAAAATTATGATTTTTTTTTTTCTGTAGAACTAGGAGATAAACCTGTAGCTTTCTAGCGCTCGAATCTATTGTTTTTTTATGTTAAAGAACATGTGCATTATAGAGTCTCTAGCGCTCCAGATTCATGCCACAATTGCACGCATTCCATGATTCACCTCAAATGATGTGTTGTTTTAAAGGCATATGACATTACACCAACTTGCCTTTACAGCTACCTGCTTTAAAAAAAGACTTCACACCTAATGCTTACACATAATAACTAACTAAAATAAATTATAATATAGTAAAATAAATAGCGATAATTACATAAACATTACGACTAAATCCGATATATTTACGTGTGACACAATCAAATTATTGAGAATTTGGTAAAAATGAAAAATATGACTTGAGATTTTACGGTGAATTTTGAAATTTGAGCGAGAATTTGAAAAATGACTCGAAGAGAGTGGTTGATTTGTGAATAAAAAATTTCGGCGGCTCTGTACGTAATTGCCCCAAATAAATAACAGATAGTTAAATTTAAAGTTGGGGAGATTCCATCATAAAGCTTTAATAATAGTTTTCAAAATTCTTATCGACCAGCATACTTCGCCACAATTTCTATGCCCTTATCCATCCATCTATACAGAAAAATAATTATATTTGTTTAATTATAATTTAAATTAATCTAGTCATATAGTCTCCGAAAAATAAGATATTATAGCTATTAAAAAAATAAAATATTCCCATCTTGATAAGACAACAAGGAAGATGCGGACCGTCGGGGGAGCGATTATTGCGTGCGGAGGGCGCTGTCATACAGCCGCGATGTGCGGCTGTGATCGGAGGGCGCGTGCAGCTTTGCGCGCGCCCTCCACACCTAATAATTAGACCCGCCGGAGGGGGGTGGCGGCGGCGGCGGCGGGGGCGGAGCGGCAGTTGGCTCTAATTTATTTTTGGTGGGCATTTACATAAATACACCGTTTCATGCACCAAAGTTGAAAAAGATACAAATTAGGTAATTTCTTATATTGGTGTATATATAATTATATATATGCATGTAGCATGTGAATAATAAAGTAAATTAAAAATAATGTTTTCGATTTATTTTTTAATGCTCAATTGCTCTTTTTTGTGATCTTTTCTTCAAATCTTAAAGATCACAATAAAGATAAGAAATTCTATTAATTTTTTACAATTTTATTTTTTTCTCTCTTTTTTTTTTATTTTGGTGTTAAATACATAAATAGAAAACTGTTGGTGGCATATACATTATTCTCAAGTATAAGTTTAAACGCCTTTATAAAACATAAATGTATGTTTGGGATCTTGAATCATTTTGGGGACTCGACATCTGAGACGTGTTGGGAGAAAGCATTCTTGGGCTAGCGCGGAGCGTCTGTTCACCCGATCCGTTCTCTATCGATCAATGTCGACTCAACACTGTTGATGTACTGGGTTTCATCCTTGCTTTCTAAGGTTGGTAGGACTCTTCTGCAATTAGCTATTGTTGTTGTGAAAAACGACGGCAATAAAGGGAAAAATCTGATTGAGAAAAAAATCGCAAAACAAAAAAGCACAGTGAAAAACACAGATTTACTTAGTTCAACAAATTTCATACATCCACGAAACAGCAAAGGATTTTATTAGCTTGAGGAATTACACCCGTCGATCACCTCGACGATTACAAGAAAGCACTTTTTCTCTCAACCTCATTCTCTCTCCTCTCCTCCTCTCCTTCTCTCTCTCTCTCTCCCTAAGAGCTTCAGTTGAAGCTTACCAGAAGAAGAACCTGGAAAGTTACCAATGCCGAAGAGGGATAACAAGTGGAGCTAGCATGTCTATTTATTAATTTCATCATGTTATTAAACTCATTAAGTAATTAATCAAATAATTAATGAAGCCCATTAATTATTTTTTTTTCTCTTCTGCAACATATCATAAAAAGAATTAAGAATAATTAATTTAACAACTAATTTCGAGTATCAAATCCAATTTGATGTCAAATATGAGAAAATGTCAATTTGAATGGTAAATCGGTTTCCACATTCACAATAACTATCGAGACATTTTGTCGGGATTGATGCTTTTGCTCTCGATTCAACACACCTCTGACCATTTTTAGCACCTAAGTTTTCAGATCCTGAATCAATTGGACCAAAAATTCCTCGGTGCATTCTCCTTGTGTAGCTTGTCTTTCTATTGGTGGGATGATCGGATCACTTATTTTATGCATATATAAAGCGAGAGAGAGGGTATTGAGAGTGATGAATAATGTAATTTTCAAAAAAAAATCTCTAATTATAAGGGAAATAGTACAATGTCGATATTACACCTTTGCCCCTATGTGGAAGTGGCAGTACTAGGATATTTTTATAAATTTACAGGTATGGGCTAACCATCCATATGTGTTCTGGCTCTGGCTCGATTGGTTAGGCTTAGTTGCCTTTAGGGCTTGTAGAGTCCGCTTGGTCTGTTGATCCAACATAGTTGAGTATTATCTTTGATCTCTGGTAAGAAGTCTTTGGAGTTTTCATGGGATAATCTGAGATACTTTGCGGGACTATATCTTCTTTTGGATAGACTTTGTTGTGGTAGGCTAGCACATCAAGTTAGTTTTCCCGCAGTGACTGGCTCGTGGTTGGATTATCTGGTCTTCTTCTTATCCTTCTCATAGTTCGGTCAGTTTTGACTTGGTTGGCTAGTCTCGTATGGCTTTATTTGTTCGGTCTGGTGAGCCCCACGAGCTCCCAACATGTCATCCTTCATCATACTTTTCTCTTCAATATTTCTTTAATATCAGATCAAAAAATCTTTTTGACGTACAATTATACTCATTTTTTATTAAAACATTCCCCCTAAAATACAAAAAAACAAATACATAATTGATAAAAAAAAATTATATCCATATAACATAAAAATAACCCAATAAAAAACATTAACAAGCAATATATTGTGTTCGACCGTAAAGAGCATCCTATCAAAAATAATAACATATTCATAGACATTAATAAATAAACGTGCAAAACACTACTAAACTTATTCACTTTGACATAGACTTACAAAAATTTCATTAAAACTCGCTTCATTCAACCAACAAACTATTAAATAAGCCTTAATCATCAGTTAACCAAATGAACCATTTTTAAGCAGGCTTAATGACCCCACAGCCCTCATTAATCCAATCGATAAGCCTCATTCATTTCCTAACAGACGCATAAAATTAACATCTAAGACTAAAACAAAACTTAAAAAAATTCAATTGACGTCAATTCGTCTGGAAATTTCCAATGAAGCTGCCTCAGCTCTGATTCCCTTCTATCCACATACAGCTTATATATAAGTTCCGTAGCAATTCATTCAACTCTTACCAAGCACTCCCACCGTAGGGAAAACGCTTTCATGACCGCGACATTTACCCTTCCTTTTCCTGCATGTTTCCAGCTTTGAGACCGATACAAATATTCCATGGAAATGATCAGATTAAGAAGATAATGAAACAGAGCCAGAAACAGAGAGAGATGAAGAGGGCAGAGAGAAGAAAGTGGGAGGACATGGCATCCGATTGCTTGGTCTGTATATTCTGCTATCTAGGAGTGGAGGAGCTCACAGTTTCTGTTCCCTTTGTCTGTAAATCATGGCATGAAGCTTCCATGGATCCTCGGTGCTGGAAGAATCTTGACTTCAGGGAGCTGGATTTTCGTCCAGGAAGCAAACTTGAACGAAGATTCAATGAACAGTACTGCTGCGGTGGTGTTTTCAGAAGCAGTTTCTCATTTTCTGCTTTTATGAAGATCTGCGTTAGCCGCAGCCGTGGATCAGCGGTGGAGCTTACGATACCATATGTTGTTGGGGCTTCCATTCAGCAGAGCAGGATCTGATTTATGCTTCCGTCCAGTAAGTGTTTCTTGTGTTTTATGAACATGTTAAATTTTTGGGGTTAGATTTGTAAATAGATTAGAGTTAGATGGTATGAATGTAAATGGTTCGGTAAATAATGTTGTATGTTGAGAGGATGAGAATCTTATTTTCAACACATGATCTTATGTGGTATATTAGTTATATACATGAAAAATATAATATATAGACAAAGTAGATGATGGTGGTTCATCTTCTCATATTAACTAAGCATTAATCAAACTTCATATATTTAACTCATCTCAAAGTTAATTAAAAGTGATATAGTATTTATCTTAATAAATAAATGTATGATGACTTTTGAACAAATTATTTTTTTTTTTTTTCTTTTTAAACTAACAAAAAAGGACCACTAGATACTTATATATATGTAAACTAACCACATATATTAATGTGAATTTATTGTTAATTAACGCCGATCATATGTTGTTCAGATCAGAAGAGTAAACTGTTTTATATTTAATTTATATTAAAAAAGGTAGACCTAAAAAGACCTAGGCATATTGTATAAATAATGATCCTAATTTATTAGAATTAAATGAAAATATGACGCTCAATAGGACATAATAGAGGCTTGTTGTGTTTGTTCTTATTGTTGTTGTTGTTGGTGGTGTTCTTGATGTCTCGGCACTTCTCACAATTAGAGATTGATTTGAATATTTGAAATAATAAAGTTGTTCATCTAAAAATGCAGATGTCCAAGATTAAAAGTGCTTGCATTGCCAAGCCTGATTGAAAAAGATGAGAGGCAACTGCCCGAGTTGATAGGCAAGTGGAAAGAGCTTGAAATCCTAGAGATCACATGGAAGCCAAATTCAATCTTAGAAATTCTTGAACAAATCAGAATAAACTGCCCCAACTTCATAGGGCTACATTTGTGCGGATTATTTAATATTATAGAGACTAGGGCTATTGTTAGATGCATGCCAAGATTGAAGATTTTGGTGATGAGTGCGTCGTTTCTTTGCAAGGGAGATTTGATGGAGATTTTAGAAGGTTGCAAAGAATTGGAGGTGTTTGATGTCTCAAAATGTAGGGGGTTTAATGTTGATAAAGATATATTAATGAAGGCATCTAAGATCAAGAAGTTTGAGTGTGGAGATTGCAAGTTAGAACAAAATCATACTAATTATAACCACTATGGTTATCATGATGATGTATTCATGGGTTTGCTTTTTATAAATTCTTAATGAGAAAATGAACATTGGAGTTCAATTTTGGTGCAAATTTGTGGTGAATTATCTATGATAATTATTTGAAGAAAAATTAATAAAAAAAAGAAATGGTTCTTCATACATTTGAGTAAACTTGCTATTATTAAATTATACGATACCTTATAGCAATATGTGATTAATTTAAGGTAGAAAATCATATATAATTAAATTATTGCAAAACTAAATATAATTATTTTATTAAATTGTGATGGCCAAACGAGTTTGCTTTTGAAATACCCTATATTTATGCTTCATTTAATTAGCATTTCAAATGTATAATTTCAGTGGTTTCATTTCTTAGGGTGTACATCAGATAAGCGAGGAAATCCAACAGACAAAATGTATAAAGGAGCACAGTTCAATGGGACCCACATACGAAAGACCAAGGGCTCACATATGGATGGAAGACCAAGTGTCCCACGGTGGAAGACTAAGGGTCCTGTATCAGAAGACTATACTTTCACTAATAAAATATCAAAATACTTGTCTAGCCAGGTGCAACCCCCTTTTTAGCTTGGGTTGAAGGTCGGCCGAGTAAAGGCCATCCGAGGCAAAAACCAAAGCCTATCGAACCGAGTGGAAGCATCGATTCATCTTTTGTCATAAAGGGTGAATTCAACATAACCACTCATCTCATAGACGCTCCTGAGATTCCTCAACCGGGACCTAGAATTGGCCACAATGCGCTCAACAGAACATCTCGAAGGGTCCCTCTTATCGAAGAATGAGCTATCTATTAGATTGTTGTGATCCACCCTATGTCTGATAGTCTAGACTTACTCCACCGATAAGATTTTCTCTTATTGGGATCAAGGGTCAACATCCAGATTAGTACGACCAACTGAGTCCAGTACTCAAGTAGTCCTGAAGACCTACAGAGGCCGACCGACAACCTTGATTCAACATAGAACCAACTAAATTCAACCGACCGAGTCAACAGCTTGTCAAACCAATTACTCATATATGTAAAATACACGCAATAAAATGTACAACATCTAATATGGGGCATAAATGTAACTTCACATACCCCCATTCCTCTATAAATAAGGGATTTCTCTATAAATAAAGAGTAACATCACCTTAGCCAAAAAGGTTGGCAAATACCAACACACTTCTCTCAAATTATTATTCATTCCGCACATCTCTCTCTTTTTCCCTCATATCTACACCCTATTCATTCTCCTACATAAACTCCATTCATTTTGTGTGTTTCACGGACAAATCTAGATCCAACCCAGGGGATTAATTTATTTGAAATTATGATATAATGGTTTAGGATGAACATATTTGCTAACTTATCATTAACTAGGGTTTTGATAATAATTAAAATACTTATCTTCTTGGTTGACTTTTTCAAAAACAATACATTATTTTTTTACGATTTTTTTTTTTTTTTTTGCTGTGTGTGGTGTGTTATTTATCCACTAATTTTGAAAGAAGGAAATTTTAGGGCCGTATTATTTCGGCTTCTTGTTGAAGTTAAATAAAAATTACAAATTTAAAAAGCAATTTTAAAATAGTTTAGTGAATAGCTTTATAAAATAAAAAATATAATAAGTATTGCATGCAAATTTTATTTTTGCTGAAATAAATTGCTGCATTATTTGACTTAGAAAATTGAAACCGATCCTGAATCCCTAAATAATAGGTGGAAGATTGGAATTATATATATAAACGTATGATGTAAGATTGGCTATCCATATATAAGTTAGTTGATCAGATATTGATGAGTGCTAGAAAATTCGCGGTATTTAAGTAGTAGGTTATCGTTTTAGCATGGTGCGAAGATTCAACACACACACAAAGAAGAGAAAATAACTAATAATGGCACCAGAAGTTTTTTTCATGGAAAGCTCGGAAAGGGAAAAATCACTGTCTTGTCTTGAACTGAAGGAGAGCTTGGAAGAACACCAAAAAGGTCGTGTCTTGAAGTGAAGGAGAGCCGTGTGATACATTTCTTCTTCTTCCTTATGTCGCGAGCCAACGCCCGCCGAAGAAGAAGAGCTCGCTCGAACCACACGCACTACGCGGAACTGCTGCTTGTTTGCGACTTATAACGAGTGAAGAAATGTTTCGCTTAGCGAAATAGAGAAGGCAGGAACAGGCGTAGGCAGGAACAGCTGGCGATAGAGGAAGAGACAGGAGCGGGAGCTAGGGTCGCGATGTTTCACTATCGGGAGCAGGAGGGGAGCAGGAGGGGGGAGCGAAATCGGGCTCCAGGTAACACTACATATAATAGAGTTGGGGGCTGATTCGATCGATAAGGGATGTCGATCGTCTGAGAAGCTTTGATTTGGTCTATAAGTGGTCCGAAAATGTGCTCTCTATCGATCGTCCTAAAGGTTGATAACAGCCTCTACGAGATTTCTTCTTCGCATCTTTTGTTAATATCCGGGTGAACTGCTTCCTTCGGCGCTACTCATTTAAACATGACAATCGAAGGCTATACTCAATCGTTCGCATCTCCTTCCAGAGCCAATTATCTACTTTGAGATTCATGACATCACAACAAGGCAAATCTTAAAATATCAAAAGTGATCTTATAGCGTCCCAAATAAGGCCCTCAAGCACTTGGCACATAATTAGAAATTTTAGGACTTCGATTGCAGAAAAAGAGAAGTATCAGCGGGCAACCCATTACAATCACATCATATTTAAAAATACAAATAAATGAGCACGCAAAATAGTATACAAATTTATTTATTTGCATATTGGACCTTCAAAAATTTCATCCTTTACTTCATTAATTAGCCAAGGAACCATTCAACAATCATATTGCTTTATTAAGCTTTCTTAACCTACAAGCTTACATTTCAACCGATTCTCATCATTAACAGCTGCCAAGCCACGCATGAAGCTTCCTCACCTTGTCTTCTACCATCCTTATCCTTATTATAATATGCCATTTGCATAGAATCCATCGAAATTTATTTCTTACTGAGTTTTCATGCGCTAGACTTTGAATCATTATTTTCCTTGAGCTTTTCAGCTTTGACAACAGTACAAATAGTTATTGAAATGATCGGATTTAAGAACATATTACAGACGGCCAAACAAACAGAGAAAGAGAGAGAGAGAAACAGAGCATGGAAGAAGAAAGGAAGTGGGAGAATTTGGATTCAGACTGCTTGGTCTCTATATTCTGTTATCTAGGATTGGAAGAGCTCACAGTTGCTCTTCCATTTGTATGTAAATCCTGGCACGAAGCTTCTTTGGATCCTCAATGCTGAAAAAGGATTGACTTTTTTAAACTGGACTTCTGTTATGGAGCAATTCTGAAAAGAAGTGTCAAGCAAAAGTATGGCGTTGAGGGAAGTAATTTTGAACGAAGATTAAAGCAAACGTATGGCGTTAGGAGCAGCTTCTCCTTTTCTTCTTTCATGAAACTCTGCGTTGACCGCAGCCATGGATCTGCAGTTGAGCTGGCGATCCCGTATGGCTGTGGTGATTCAATTCTGCAGGATCTGGTCTCTGCTTCAATCGAGTAAGAATCTGACAATATATTATATATATAATTTGTTGTTATATTTGTGCAAATTGTAAAAACAAAAGAATCAAGTGTCATGTATGCAAAAAATTGAAGTTAAGTTGTTTGATATATTAAAACAAACGAATTAAGTGGCATGTATGTATCTAAATTTTCCATGTCGCTATTCTCAAATGCATGCATGGAGCAAATATTACATTCGGATTCTAGACGTAATTTCCGTCCGGAGTCTAATGGAGGGGCGCCACGTGTTAAGTGCGCCCAACGTAATACATTGAGATTGGTCAGTATTAAAATTTGTGGGGCTCATTTGACGTCACACCCTACTATTGGACTTTATATCTGGTGTTCTGACGTAATATTTTTTTTTGCATGCAGGTGTCCAAGTTTAAAAGTGGTTGAATTATTAGAGATGAGCCTCGATGTCGTGGAGAAACTTCCTGCATTGATAAGTAAATGGAAAGAGCTTGAAATTCTAAAGATCCCATTGCAACTATTTTCATTCACACAAATACTTGAACAAATCAGGATCAACTGTCCCAAATTTATAGGGCTTCACTTGCATGGATATTTTAGTAACAGAAGAATAAAGGCCATTGTTAGATGTGTCCCAAGATTGAAGATTTTGGTGATAGATGGAGCTAGAATTAAAAAGAATGATTTGATGGAGATGTTGGATGGTTGCAATGAATTGCAGCTGTTCAGTGCGTCGGATTGTGCTGGCTTTAAAGTGGATGCTGAGATATTAATGAAGACATCTAACATCAAGAAGGTTGAGTTTAAGAACACTCCCACGCAATGTAAAATTGAAATTGATTACTTCTTTTAGAGAGATTAACAATTTGTTGGATTTGCCAAATGTAATTGCAATAAATTTTTTGATGAAGCAATACTATTTGGCGCAGCTGTAGATTATTTATAATCTGTTGATTAAGCAGATTATTCTATAATATGATAATCTGCAGATTCTGATAATCTGATGATTATCTGAATAATTTAGTTTTTTGTTTGGGGCAGCTTATTCATATTAGTTTATTGGTGGTTAAATGACATTCCTGCCCCTGTGTGGTAAAACTGTTTGGGGCAGTTTATTCAGAATAGTTTATTGGTAGTATAAAAGCATATAGTACAGAAGCATACAATCATCACAGATCAGTTTCAAAAGATCACATACAATTCTCACACTCTCGTGAGTACCAGAAGAAATAAAAAAAGGACAAATAAAAATACAACTATAATGAGAAATATTAAAATATTTAATTTCAAACTCTGGCTATGTTTGTCATCAGCTGCACTATTAACCTGGGAAAACATCGGATTCCCATGACTGTTGGCAGTGTAATATGTGGGACTGTCAGCCCACCAGAAGAAACCGCAGCGAGCTAAAACACCCTTAGCACAACTGTAGAACTGCCTCCCAAAGCTATGAGGCTGACGCGACGTGAGCAACGGAGACGATAATCCACAATAACAAAAAATATCTCTGTCTGTAACAGATATCCTAGAAGTCATGTTTGTATAACTGTAAAAAAATAAAAAAAATAAATGTCAGAACTTATTCCCAAAAAAATAAAATCCACATAAAGATTGATTTACATATATACGAAGAAAATACGAAGAAAAGAAAGAGAAAAGAAAGACTTGTTGGATTAGCTTTCATATATAGCATCTGTTATCTCAGCCACACCCTCCGAGTCATGAACTTCAAATTCATTAAATTCACTGTCATCCTCAGAAACTGAAGGCTCGATCATGATTTCTGTTGGTTCTTCATATACAGTCAGCTCTTCGTTATCATCCATACTAAAGTCCGCATTTGAACGTGAAGAGTGTCGTCGTATGAAGTTATGAAGTGTCATTGTTGCCACCACAATATGCATCTGCTTCTGAAATGGATATGACGACATATCACGTAGGATTACTCATTTCTTCTTCCAAGCCTTAAACGTTCTTTCAATTACCCCACGTAAAGATAAGTGACATTTGTTAAACATTTCTTTCCTACCACGAATACTGTCACTTGCTCGCTTAAAATCAGGAATAGGATACCTAGTGTCTGAATATGGCTTCAGTTAGCCCCTCTACATAGGGTATCCAACATCAACCAAATAGTATTTTCTTATTATGGAAGATATTATTATTTGCAATAAATACCTATAACTTGTACTTTTATAAATCAAAACATACCTGAAGGCGGATGAGGAAAACCTTGCGATCTATTCCTCATAGCATAGGCAAAAACTTGACTATCATGTGCACTCTCTTCTCAGCCCGCCATAACATATGTGAAACACATTTTGAAGTCACATACCGCCATGATACTTTGAGTAGTCGATCCACTTCGACCAATGTAAGCCACCTTGTCTAGCTGGGTATTCGGGCATCAACGTGAGTACCGTCAATTGCACCTATGCAGTTATGTTTGATAAAGTTAGGAAATGAAAGTAAATAAAAGAATCGTTACCTTAAAGTAAGGCATGTAACGGGGATCGAGCGATTTGTACTGGAGTACTAGCAAATGATGAATTCGCTGGCCTAATGATTTTAGTGACTAAGCTAACAGGTGTCTGTATGCCTTTGGAAAAATAACGTCTTATTGTCTCCGATGAATGCTGAAATCTCTCCATAGCACCCCTAATTGATTCATTCTGTGACAGAATATATAGTGTTATAGCCAATACCTCGCCCAATACCTCCAATACCTCGCTTCTCGTCGTTCTCGAAGAACCTTGGAGTCTGTGATTGATGGATAACTCGTACAAGAGATCCATAAAGATCAGTATTGTCATTCAAAATATGTTACTGAATCTAATAGAATGTCCAGAAAGCATTTCGCCAACCCATTTATCCCCAACGAAGTTGGAGGTCATTTGGGGTATACGAACATGGCTTGATCGGTAATACTCCAACAGTAATACGGCAATAGCTACAGCTCATGTCATTCTCTTACGATGTTCATGTTGTGGATCCATCCTAAAGAAAGAAAAATCTCACTTATTTCATCATTTATTAATCAATACAACGAGTGAGAAATAAATAACGAGAACACTCAGCTAATAAGAATAAAAAAAATATTGAGCTCTACTAATATGCATTCAAGATTCAAATAAAAGTACATTTAAAAAAGAAACACAACTCCAAATAACAGATGAGTTCATAACTTTGAATAGTACATAATACATTGCTTGAAAACAAATAAAAACTCAATCATTAAATATAACATGTAAATATTCGACTCGAAACTCTGGTTCCATCGCCATAAATATGTGCCTACGTGTTGGATCCTCAAGTTTTTTTCATACATATTGCATGAAAGTGCTTATCCACTACAACTTCATGGATGGTTTTTAAAGTGCTAAGATAATCAAAGATACTGTTGTCAGGTAGTGGAGCAGGCGGGGGTGCTCCAAAAGCATCTATGAGTCTGTCAAATGAAGTCCTCACAAAAATATCATTTTCTTTCTTTTTTCTTCCTAGCTTGGGCATTTTCATCTGTGAGCTTGACTCCCCCATCTCCCTCTGGTTAACACTATGTATTTCTTCTTCAACTGCCACCGGCTCTGGTCTAAAATTATCGGGTATTCCTGCAAACACCGTCTCACTAGGGTTGAATACTTGCTTTCCCGTTGCCACTACCCCCTTGAATATTATGTCAAGTTTTTCTATAAAATCAGGCTCAATTCCACTCTGCTTGTATTTTTTTGCTGTCGACAGTATCTATAACAAAAATTGAGGACACTCAGGTAATTAACAAAATGTTTGATATACACAAGTTGAAAATATAAGTCATACATTTAATTTCTCGGCCCACCATTCTTTTGGTGCATCAATTGTCCGTTTAATTGGATCCCAGCCTAACCCAGATGATCCACATTTTAGCTCTTTTTAAATCTTCCATTCCTTTTTCAATTGTTCTCAATTATTTTTAAACTTTAGCCTATCATAATTTTTTCCAGTCAGTTCTTTAAACCTTCTAGTTATATTCTGCCAACCTTATATGTTGAAGTACGTTGTCGGCCGATTTCCCAATTCTATTTCTTCAACACACAGATCACAAAAAATATTTGTCACTTCTTTATCTCACATTGCGAACGTACCCCCTTATTTAGACATGTTGGAACTATAATGAACAAAAGCATTACACACAAAGAATCTCCACAGCGTTGCAATTAACAAATCAAAATAGAAGTATAAGTACATGAAAGAATTATGTGGTTCGGTCAATGACCAAAGGAAAATATGTTGAGATTTTCATACATATTTTATACTATTTTTGATGATATTGCACTTTAAAGAAAGGTTATTTTGATGTTTTGTTGCAGGTATGAGGAATTATAGTCATTGAAGCAAAAATATGCAAAAAGGAGCGAATTTGGAGCGAAAAGGACCAAAATGTGAAGAATTGAACTAGGGCGCCGACAGCGAGCCCAACGGCGCCAACGGCGAGATTTTCCCAAGATTCCATACAAATAATTTAGCAGGCCCGCCGACGGCACCCTCGAGGCCGCCAACGGCGAGATCGACGGGTATTATTCAAGGGGCTTCCAAAGGTGTATTTCCAAAGGTGCATTGAATGTGGACGATTTTTGGAGGGATGCTTAGGCAACTCTTGAGAAAACTCTTCTACATCTTTAAAATAAGAGAAAATAGGGCAAGCGTTGGGAGGTTGGGAGAGTTTGGAGAGTGTGTATAGTGTAACGAGTTTACTTTAGAGTTAGATCGTAAGGAATTCTTCGAGAGATTGTAAGAGTGGAGGGAAAGTGAGAAATTTCTTCCTCCTTGCCGCTTTGAAGAAGAATTATGTGTGCTGTAAAGAAAGGAAGAGATTCAGAGGAAGTTCGAGGAGTTTGCTTGGGGGGAGGAATTAGAGATAAGTTATTTACTTGTTGTAGTTTGTATGACTTTGCTTTTATACATAAATTTTGAGTTTTGTTGTGTCTTCCTCATGAGTTCTGAGTAGTTTTCTCTTTCTCCTTGTCGTGAGATTTGTGAAATGGTGATTTGAATTGGTTGAGCCATGAAAATGTTAAAGAAGTTATGATGATCTTTTCACTTCAATCTTAATTTACTTT